AAAAGAGTAATTAATAAGAAATAGGAATCAACCACTGACACATTTGCAGCAAAAAAAAAAAGGTAATAAATTTGGCGTTAGATTGATTTTATGATGGAGTATAGTATGAGATTTAAAATATAATGGATGATATCTATCTCAGTTTTCTAAATTTTATCTATAAATATCTTATGATGGTGTTTATAAATCTTTAAATAGCTTTATTTGTTCTTATTGAAATGGTGGCTTGTTTCAGTTGAATTAATCTTGATTAATCATATTTCATATATGAATGTTTTTTATTGACTTTAATATTCAATTTTATCTAACAACTTAGGTTTTATTTTATTGTAATATTTCAATTTATGTATTAACCCAGTATTTAATATTTCGTTTTATAAATGAATTCAATTAATTTTATGTTATTTGCTGTAGTAAATTACAACTTGATATTATCAATTTAAATATAACAGAGAGTTTAAGATTTTATAAAAATTAGTGTCATTTAAATTAAAGTCAAACTCAAGTCAGAGTGAAATTAATGTGATATTGGAAGAAAATTGAAAGTTCATATTGTATTTTTAACAATACATAATAAAATTATACTACTGTATATGAAAATTTTTCAATACTCGGATCAACAGGATAAATTAAAAATTGTAAACTCACGTTGTCCATTAAGACTAGTAGAGATACGTGTAAATTGGTCCAACACCGGTGAATGTTAAAAAAAATAGAAAATTTTATATGCAATGCAACCAATTTCCAAGTATAATAATAATAATAAAAAAAACAATGCAGATAAGTATATTAAATAGTATTGTTTGGTCTACCTCTGGAAATTGAAAGGATTCATATTCTTTGACTATTTCTAGAATTTGAAGTCGTTCACATGGCGATTATCGAAAATAAAATAAATATTTGAATTGGAAAATAATGTAATTATTTTTTATTATTAAAGTAGTACATTGCAAAATGAAATTATGTAAATATGCCCACGGGATTTATGACGTGTATGTGCGAGGATTTATTGTCAGCTAACTTAAAAAAAAACACATTTATACCACGGGAAAAAACTCTATCAAACAACTATTGAATTTTTAAATTACCTTTTTTTCAGTGCATGTGAGGTGAAAATTCTAATTCAAAGATTTTATTTTTATCGTCTCAATTGATAAATTACTTCATTTTTAGACCCTATATTATTATTAAATGATATAACTATAGAAAGTATAGATAAATGAAAATCTTACGGAAAATTTTCAATACTACTTCAACAAATTAATAATTAAATTATACATTTTATCATGTAGTTGGACATTTCATACTAATTTTATTTCATACCCTAGTGGAAAAAATTTACTTTGCCCATCTACCTTAAATTTAATTAACTATTCGTGAATGATAACTCAATTTTACTTTTAGCTAAAATGAGCATTGTTCAGGTTGTGAGTTTGATCTTCCACCCCCACATGTTAAACTAATTAAAAAAAACATTAATGACTTTTATTAATTTGAACATAGTTCAACTAGTTAAGATATATATTATTAACTAAAATGTTGAAGGTTGAAGCTCAAAGTCTCGTGTTTTGTTGAACTAAAAATAAAAAATAAAAAACATCAGTAATTATTTTTTTGGAAGCATGTGGGTTWGAACCTTGAATTTTAAGGGGAGGAGATCATTGATACCAACATAGGCGTAGTTCATTAGTGGCATCTAGGCTGAACTATATTTATGTTGGTATCAGTGATTTTCTTATAGGTTAAAAGTTTAAATTTTCATCCTACTTGTTACACTCCAAAAAAATTATCTCGATAATTTTACTCGTTGGGAAAATTACAACTAAAACAAAAGAACAACAACTCAATAATTAGATTGAAGCAAAATTATGTCGTTTATCTATAAGGAGTTTCAAGCCTATGTGAATGTGATGTGTATTTTATTATCTAACAACCGATATTTAGCTCGAGTTCAAAACTACATGCTAAATGGTACCCTTCCTATTGCTTTAAGAGCACAAAAGCAAAAAAATAAATATAAATATAAAATATGTTGGATATGTGGTTGTATTTTTAGGGTGTGGTAAAATAGGTATTAATATATAAATTTTAGATTTATAAACTCAATATATAATTAATTAATTTTTTTAACAATCTATTTTGAATAAAGAAACAAATATGTTTCTATATTTAATAGATAAAAGACCTCTCTTAACTCTCACATTTAAAAGATTAAACTCATAATAAATATTAAATATTAAAATACATTACCAACGAGTAAATGCTTTGAAATATAATTATAGAAAATTTCATCATATATACACACAAATAATAATAATAAAAATAAAAATAGAAGATTTTTTTTAGTTAACAACACGTGAGATATGAATTTCAAACTCTCAACCTCGAGTTGAGTTATGTTTAAATTGATAAAGATAGTCAACATAAATATAGTTCTAGTTCAGGTGTCTATTTCGAACTTTAGATTGTGAGTTCGAATCTTCATATTATATTAAAAAAAAAGTAAAATTTGAAGCCATACTTTTTTAATCACGTTAATATCACAGGAAATAGTATTGCATGAAATTTAAAAATGGATTGGCCAATGACTGAATTATTATTTGTTTGAATATGGGTAAATTAATTCATGGGGATATTGATTTAATAAATAAATTGTCAAAACAAGAAAGAGATAGAGAGAGAGAAAATATTGATTGACATGGACATTTGATCTGCAGAGGAGTAAACCGCAACTTCCCCAATTTAAGTAGTAGTAGGTCTTCAAATCACATTAATGAAGAAAATAACATATTTCTTTCTCTCTCGTGGTGCTCATTGCATCACTTAAAAATACTTTTCTCAATTCCATTTTTTTTTTTTTTAAGTTATTGTCGTTTGGCTTCTAAATACATCAATTGTTCAATTCTGTAACTTTAAATATGCATATTAATGTATAAATACGAAGATCAGATGAATATTAAGGTAAAGTAGTAACGATAACCAAAATGATTTTATTTTTTAAGCTCGTGAATTCAAATAGATATTTTAAAAGATACTAAATAAGAAAAAATAAAAATAGATATTTTAAAATCAAACGAGTATGAAGAGGAAAACAATATAGTTTTTTAATAAAATTTAAAATACTTATGAAGGGGAGAAATAGAACAAAAACAAGGTAGTATGGAACTACTAAATTTAAATTTACATCAACATATCGATATTTCTATCAATATATTTTTTTATATCTATTGGGTTCAACATAGACATGAAAAATGAATTGAATTTTTGATAGTATTGTAAAAAAAAAACCGACAAAACATAAAAAAAAAATATATCAATAAAATATGAGAAATTGCAGTGGGTAGCAAAAATATTTTACGTATTTCAAAATATGTCACCTATTCTTTAAAATTTCACTTATGTCAATAGTATAGAAGTAGTATATCAGACACTCATATCAGTAGTATATTAGATATATATCGCATACATACTGCACAAACACTCATATCAATGTTATATTATATATATATCACATACATATTGCAAGTATAACAAACACTCATATAAGTAGTATATCAAATGTATATCACATACATATATCATAATTAGGTATATTACATATATATTACAGATATACATTATTTTGTTAAAGTTGTCATTTTAAAATTGGACCTCTATTTTTTAAAATGTTGTTATATTTGAAAAAACTAAATGTGGCTACTATTTTGTTAATTTTATTAAATATTTTTGCCATATTTATAATTATATCATAAAAAATTAATATTAAATAGTATAAATTATATATATATATATATATATATATTTTGATATTTCTATAAAATTGATATCTCACCATTTTCGTAAAGATGGATGGTGGCATTTCGGGGACGAGAGTGGGAATAAGTAAGGGCAATAAATGAGAAAACGGCATTATCCAAATTGGATGGAAATTCCCCCAAAATAATTAAGGGAGGGCATCCCATTCTTTGTCCAATTCCTATTGGAGCATATTCCTGGTTGACGACACATCCATCAAAAAAAGCCACAGAGCTTTCCTTTTTTTTTCTATAATTTTTCTTCCCGTTTTATTAATTTATTTTTGTGAACTCTTGACACCATCTACACTTCAAGCAATATTTGGATAAGCATTGGGAAGAAATATTTTTTTTGGTTTAGACATCGATGTGTCCCTCAAAGTTTT